CTGGACAAGCTGTGTTCAATCATAAGCACGCACTTCTCTTGAAATTAGTTTATAAATAAACCACACTTATTGTGTATGGCGATACACCCAAAGCGCTTCACAATTATGAGAGGGGGGTTTCTTCACACCATTGCCAGTGTGCAACATCCACTTGGATGATGCAATGGCAGCTACAGGACAATGCCGCCAGTGGTTTCACCACACACCAGCTATAGGGGGAGTGAAGAGATGGTGATAGAGCCAATTCAGTGGATGGGGATGATTGGGAGGCCATGATGGGCAAGGACTAAAGCTGCGGTCACACTTGACTTTTCTCCCCATAGACTTCCATTCATACGCACGCGAATACATCAGACTGGAAACGCAGGATCTGAGTTTTGCAGTTCACTGCGGTGCAAACTTCAAGCTTGGTAAACTCTGACCTGCAAAATTGCATCACATGACTGCGTGAGACCAATCAAAGATCAAAACATGACCTCTCTGGACAGAAATTTAAAACTTGGAGCAATCGCTTGGTTTTTTTCATGTCTAATCATCTTGTTTAATCCCACCCCTTTTTGCAGCACCGTACGACAGTTTCGCATGCACAAACTCTAGTGTGACCGCAGCTTAATGGAGGGGATTTGGCCAGGACACTGGGGTTACACCCCTACTCTTTACGAGAAGTGCCATGGGATTTTCAATGACCACACAACTTAAATTTGACTTATACTGGATTGTGAGTCTGGAAATAAAGTGATTGATGATGACTGCCACAACTAACAAGAAAATGCAGTCTAATAGATGGAAATTCAACTCTATTCTATTCTTAACTCTATTCTAGTATTTTTTATTATTCTTTTAGCAATGAGTATACCACAGTGATATGTATGGATGCAGTTTTTTTTTCTGTTGTTGATTTTTAATATAAAATACAAATAAGTTGGCATGTGTGTACATTTTCATAGTTAATTTGCTTATGTACACACCATGTTATGATATTCTGGAAGGACAGTTGCATCCCCGATGTGAATCAGAAGGATGAACAGTCAATGCTATTGTTGTAACTTTATGTAAATCACTTTGACTTTGAAAGATGGAACAGCATATTTACATACATGTTTACATGTTTATACTGCAGTCAGTCACCTATTGCACGTTTAAGTGTATTAAGAACAGTAAAAAAATCAGGCAGAAAATTCAACAAAATATTCAGTCCAACCAGCAAACAAGCAAAAGGTTCATCTGAAAGGAAGTAATTCAATAAAGCAGATGAGGAAGTCATACAAGAGTGGCAAACAGAATAGTGTTGGTCAGACTTTATCTTGATGGTTCATTTGTTGAATTTAAGTTATATTGCATCTACATGCCAATTAATTATCATTAGATTATAAGTAGACTGTTAGGTTGGGGTTGGGGTTAGTGTAAGTTGACATGTACTTGCAAAGTTTCTTATAGTCAGTTAAATGTCTGCTGAAGGAGCAGTATCAGCAGATATTAAGCAAACAGTCTACTAATACTCAAATGAACCATCCAAATAAACGGTTACCATAGTGTTTGGTAGTGATGTCTACTTTTAAAAGACTACTTCATGAAGCTTTGAAACCTTTACAAATATTTTGCTTAGAATCAATAGATATCAAATTGCCAACGTCACTTGATTTTAACCTCTGAATTGTACCCGAGTCTGCCTGAAAGACGTGGTTTGGGGTACGGTTCATGCACTCTTAAAAGGTTCATTTCTTATATGAACAGGAGCTAGATGACGCAAACGTACCAGGGTTCAGAAAGAATAAGACAGTGACTATGTTTACATTGACATCATTAATCGAATTATTTGCCTTAATCTGAATAAGACAATAACAAGATGAAGGTGTTTACATGAGTTGCTGTTTGAATGTCCCTCTCATGATCCCTTTTTACATGTTAAGCACATTGCGTCTCAACGCTATCTACGTTAGTTTCAGGTTATGTCAGGTGTCTTATTTTAATTTTTCAACTTTAATTGCAGTTCGGCACTTTCACATTCATTCACGAACATTTCATGTATGCCCCTGTGACAAACAACATATTCAATTCAAGTATAGACTGCTAGAAGAGTGTCGTTTTAATGGACTTTGGTACTGCACGCTGTATGGTGAAAAGAACAAAATGCAGGTGTCTGTGGTCCTTTACTGTTTCGGTAGGTGCAGAGAATAGTGTCAAATAGCAGTGTGTATAAACCATCCTGTCGCAAAATGCTAAATCCTACACGATAGTAATAGTTTGATTGTGGTGTTTACATGTCTGTATTGCACTTCAATATTGCGACTAAAATCAGCATACTCCACGTATTAATCCGATTTCTGTTTACTTCAATTATGACCTTAATCGGATTACATTAATCAAAAATCACTGTTTACATGGTCGACTCTTAATCAGAGTATTGCCTTAATCATATTTAAATTGGATTATTGGTGTCCATGTAAACGTACTCAAATTTGTGCTCGGACCAGGCATTCGTGACCAAGTGTGAAACAGGGCTCGAAATTGCGACCATTTTGGTCACAAATGTTCACCACATGCGCGGATTCTCGAGAAACTCACGCAGAATGCATCTCTAAGCTCTTTGTCTTCACTTGAAACGCGAAACGCAGCGCTCAGGAATGGTTTAAAACAGTTGTCATGTCAACTTGCTGCAGTAAACAAAGCCAAGTCCGTAATGCTTGCCCCGCCTTCACACTCTTCTTTCTGGCCCACCACTGGTCTAGCACTGAACGCGAATGATTGGTTAATATCAGCTGTCAATCACTCAGCCAATGCCTTCTGGCTTGGGATGACAGAGAGAGCTACTACCGCGAAAAAGTGTAAAGCGCTGAAGATGAGAATGAAGATAACACTGACAGATTTGGTTTTAGAAACCATGGCATCTAAAGTTATAAATGACACATCTTTGTAGTGACCATGTGCTGAATGTTAATCCACCATCTACACTTTTCGAAGAGTGAATAAAAGACTTACATTGGCTTCAAGTCCGCTATGAAAAGTCTGTGGGATGGATTTTTCAGGTAACTGTTTGCCACATCTTGCACAAGAGCTTCTGTTTAATCCTTCACATAATAGCCAGATGCTGTCCGCCGTGCAAGAGGCAGCAATATGTAAAATTCGCAAACGGGCTTACACTGAGTAAACTAATATCGCTACTCATAAAAAGACCGGTATTGCTATTAACATGACGTATGCATATAATAAGGTACAGTATATGTCAAAAACATCAGTGCAATATCAGACAGCACTTGTGAGAACAGCACAGTTATACAGTTAAAAGATTCATTCATTTCAAGCAGTGCGTGCAGGGGCGGTGAGCGCTCCGTGTATGCTTTGGTCACTCAGTTATGTTATAAAAATCTATTTTCTTGTGATAACGAGATTTCATTGAGACATATATTCCTCACGCTTGCATCTATATATATATATATATATATATATATATATATATATATATATATATATATATTTTTTTTTTTTTTTTTTTTTTTTTTGCTTGTTAGTTTGATTAGTGTTGATTTCAAATGCAATAAATATGTTTGAATAAAACTTGTAGTAACAATGCTCATAATTGGTGGGTGCAACTAAATTTTGGCTGATGCGCCTAAATTTTTAAAGTTAGGAGTTCCGAAGCTACCAAGCAAAAAGGTTAATTTCGAGATCTGTGAAAGCAACCGAAATCACTCATTTTCAGTATTCCGGAGTCCTCATCTCATCCCTTTACCCCAACCTTGAAAAATGCTTGATTCTGATTGGCTGATTCTAGGGAGGTTATAGGTTATTTATAAAATTGTTATGTGTTACATTTTCAGTTTTTTTTACAGCTACAACAGTCCAAAATTACAACAAAACACAACATAATGTTTAGACTGAGAGTTAGAGAAACTAGTGCTACATGCAGGAGGAGTTTGGCCAATCACCACCTTGGGTTTGCAGTTCCATTTACTTATATAATTACATATAAAATAATACAGAACAGCACTTTAGCTCATCTTGGTAAAAATGTGAGTGTCATCGGAAAAAGATTGTGTTTAATATCCTGATGATTTAGTCTTGATCAGCTGCACACAAGTTTCAGAGATGGGCTCAATGGTCAGTTCACTGGTTTGAGTCCCAGCTCGCCCAGTTGGCATTTCTGTGTGGAGTTTGCATGTTCTCCCCATGTTGGCGTGGGTTTCCTCTGGGTGCTTTGGTTCCCCCTACAATCCAAACACATGCACTATAGAATTAATTAACTGAATTGGCCGTAGTGTATGAATGTATAAACGAGTGTGTTTGAGTGCTTCCCAGTACTGGGTTGAAGCTGGAAGAGTATCTGCTGTGTAAAACATATGCTGGATACGTTGACGGTTCATTCTCCTGTGGTGACCCCTGATAAATAAAAGGACTAAGCTGAAGAAAAATGCATAATGTTTCAGAGATGCTCATAACATTCTCCTATCAAAGTGCATCACGGAAGTCCTGGGAGATCTTTATATGCATGTAAATCAGCAAACATGCAAAATGCTCAATAATTAACACAATTACAGAAAAAATATGTATATCATGGAAAACAAAAGACAATTTAAATGTCAAGGTGGATTTTTCTTGTCAAGCTACTTTGTAAAATCTTCATGCGAGACTCGACTGTAGAACTGCATTCAAATGAACACATTTCCAAAGAAGTACAGCAACAACAGACAACACAGAGAACAAATGCAAATTCTCCTTAACGAGGAAGAAAAATTAAAATGACTTTGTTTAGAGTAATAAATAATGTGACTGATGAGAGCAAGTATAGAATAATCACATAGTCTGAAGCTGCAGACAGAAACATCAGACTGAGGACTGAAACACACCAGCTCTGAGGTAAGAACACACACATCTACAGGCTTTAAACACAAAAAATAGACTTCTGAGATAGTTATAATGTCTTTAAATTAAAGATCCTGATATATATTTTTTTTATGTGAAAACATTAAAGTATTTAACTTTTTAATGTGTTTCTTCCTCAGAAATGGCTCAGACTCTATATATCCCTCTTCTCCTCATTGGTGAGTGTGTTTGTAGTTTTATTGATGGTTTATAGTTTCATTAGGTTTGACTCTGTTCTGAACATCATTAAAGCAAAGTGTCTCTTTCACAGCTCTCTGCTCCATATCTGAATGTGTTCAGCGTCAGTATCACTTTATAAATGAGGGGAGGAATCAGACAGAAGCTCAGAAATACTGCAGAGAGAAATACACAGATCTGGCCACTGTTGACAACATGAGTGACATGAACCAGCTGATAAAGAGTGTGAATAATGGAGGTGTTGAAAATATCTGGATTGGTCTTCAGAGGACAAGTGTTTATAAATGGCATTGGTCTTCAGGTGATCCTGTGCTCTTTCTGAACTGGACATCTGGAGAACCAGCTGGCAGTAATGAGTGTACTGTTATGCATAATGGACAATGGATTAATGAGGCATGTAGTAACACTCGTTTCTTCATCTGCTACAACAGTGAGTACAAAACCCTACTGTGTAAAAAATAAATTTAACAAAAGATGCTTCAAATGGAAATTGAAATGTAACAATAGTAAACATTATACATATTAAGTGAGGTCTAATTTATAATATTGGGTCAGATATGTCTGACGAACATTATATGAACTGAAAAACAGATGATATGTTATTATTGTCTTGCAGGACATAGATTACAAACCTAAAAAATAATTAATATTCATTATCAACTCATAACAACTCAACTCTTCATAACACAGGGTTTTCTTAAACTTTCACCGCTGCTTCTGTTCACAGCCAAAGCATGCAGCAGAATAGGAATAAACTGATACAATTATATTTTTGTCTGATTTTCTTAAAGTGAGCACAGGACTGGTGTTTGTTGATCAGATGATGAACTGGAGAGACGCTCAGAGTTACTGCAGACAGAATCACACTGATCTGGTCAGTGTGAGAAACCAGAATGAGAATCAACAGCTGGAGAAGTTCATTAATGACAGAAACTCATCTGGAGCAGAAGTCTGGATCGGTCTGTTCAGAGACTCATGGCAGTGGTCAGATCAGAGCAACTCCTCATTCAGATACTGGAATACTGGTGAACCAAATAATGTTGAAGAAAGCTGTGCAGTGATTGGGAAGAATCCTCAGAGAGGATGGGCAGACGTCCTTTGTGATGGCCGCAAGATTCCTTTTGTGTGTCATGAAGGTGAGCAGATCCTCCAAACACACTCAATCCATCATCAGCTCCAGATCTCTTAACTCTTTCCCTGCCAGTGTTTTTAAAATGGTTGCCAGCATTTATGATGATGTGCACCTAAATATGATGGCCCTCAGGAAGTTTTTTCATAGGATTATATGATTATATTGTATATAACAATAAAGCACCAAGCCTCTGCTTAAAAGAATCTATATTCATGACTTGTGTTTCTCCCCAGTTAAATGCAGGTAGGTTTAATCAAAACTGCAACATTTTCTGACAAAAACTAAGAAAAAGTATATAATACACATGCATAAATATGTTTTAGTGAGCATGTGAATGTGTGTGTAAACTCTTTCACATTCCTAACCTCATGCAAATCAGTAGGGGTGAATAATTTCACTATGGTTAGCTCTGATGAAGCTGTAAATAAGCCAAAGGAAGCTTGTATAACACTTCATTTTTACACGCCATCTTTCACTTTCTCTGATTATTAACTTTTTCACTCTCAAGAGACTCTGAAGTCCTGTTACTGATTTGGAAGCTGCATTAGGGCTTCCCTTAGCTTAAATTAAATAAAACACTGATTGCCATAAAAACTTGTCAATGGCAGGGAAAGTTTTAAAGTCGACTCTACATGTCTGACATGACAAATTCCTCCACAGTGTTTGTTCTGCATGTTGTTGTTGATCAGTCTCTCTCTAGTTTCTGCTTTGTTTTGTGTCCAGATAAACTGATTGTGATCCAGCAGAATCTGTCGTGGTCTGAAGCTCTGAGATACTGCAGACAGAATCATGTGGATCTGGTCTCGGTTCAGTCAGTGGAGATGCAGTATAAGGTGATGAACGTGGTTAAACTGGCGTCTACTGAGGCGGTGTGGTTGGGTTTACGTCACTCCTGTGCTTTGGGCATCTGGTTCTGGGTGAGTGGACAGACCGTGTGCTATCAGAACTGGGCTCCAGGGAACGGCACATCAGAGGAGGACTGTGAGCCCACAGTGAGATCTGGAGCAGTTCAGTCTGGAGGAAATCAGACCTGGATCAGCCGTCCTGAAACTGACCGACTCAACTTCATCTGCAGAAACTACTGAGAGTGAAGAAGTAAGATGGGGAATGTGTTCTGTTTAGATTTATCATTGGATTGGGAAGTAATCATTTTACATAAAATAATCAACTCTGGATGCAGTGATGTACATTGTAATTATTATTTTTTTATTAAAATATAGGACAAAATTTGTAGTTTGGGTAACATTTTTAGACTGTATAATAGTTTTAAACTAAGTCATATGAGCTTCATAGTGAGTAATTAAAGGACTTTACCTTAAAAAAAAAAAACAATAACACAATGGTTAGCACCATCACCTCACAGCAACAAGGCCGCAGGTTCGAGTCCCGGCTGGGCCAGTTTGCATTTTCGTGTGTAGTTTGCATGTGAAAGTGATCATGTATGGGTGTTTCCCAGTATTAGGTTGTGGCTGGAAAGGCCACATTGATTTGAGTACAGTAAACTCATTATCATGTTCAAGAAACCAGTCTGAGATGATTCACGCTTTATAACATGGTGTGTTATCCTGCTGGAAGTAGCCATCAGAAGATGAGTACACTGTGGTCATAAAGGGATGGACATGGTCAGCAACAATACTCAGATAGGCTGTCAATTGTTACTAATGGGCCCAAAGTGTGCCAAGAAAATCTCCCCCACACCATTACACCACCAGCAGCCTGAACTGTTGATACAAGGCAGGATGGATCCATGCTTTCATGTTGCTGACTCCAAATTCTGAACTGAGCATCCGAATGTGGCAGCAGAAATGGAGACTCATCAGACCAGGCAACGTTTCTTATTACGTTAGTGCTTATTTGAATTACTGTTGCCTTTCTGTTAGCTGGAACCAGTCTGGCCATACTCCTCTGACCTCTGGCATCAACAAGGCATTTGCGCCCACAGAACTGCCGCTCACTCTTTTTCAGACCTTTCTCTGTAAACCCTAGAGATGGTTGAGCGTGAAAATCCCAGTAGATCAGCAGTTTCTGAAATACTCAGACCAGTCTGGCACCAACAACCCTGCCACGTTCAAAGTCCCTTAAAACCCTTTTCTTCCCTATTCTAACGCTCGCTAAGAACTGCAGCAGATCGTCTTGACCATGTCTACATGCCTAAATGCAAGCATGCTTATTTGCGTTAATGAGCAATTCTGGCAATTGTGATGGCCATTTTATCCATGTAAATTTGTATAAGTTGTGAGCTGAGTGCTGTAAGGGTGGTCGGTGTTGTAATTAAATTTTCCTCATGTTTTTGGTTTAATTATGGTGTAAAGGAAGTTACTGTAATTTATTTGTTTTGATTATGTTAGGTAAGTTATCTTTGGAGTGGAATTAGTTAATCTTGTGTTTATTATTTTGTCCTTGCTCGGCATTTCCTGTTATACAAATACATATACAATACGAACTATTTTCTCACAATAAAATAATCTGAACGTCATCAAATTCCAACCTGTTAACTGTTTGTTTATTTATTTTAATTATTTATTTTTTCTTTATTGTTTTTAACTCCAGACCTAGACATTGGGTTCATAACAAGGCAGCAGCTATTTGCACAATATAGGAACAAAAAAGTATGGTAGATGCATAATATGTTTGTGGCAGATGGACCCGAGTCGCTTTCTGTATGTCCAAAACCAAAAGCTTTCAGTAAAAGCAGAATGACGGCGATGTGCGGAAGTCTTTCCATTTCGGCACTTGCTTGCGTGGCCGTCACCTAGCAACGGCCGTAAACAAAACAGCAGCTCGATGACGCAAGCGTATGGGGATTCAGAAGGAAAAAAGACAGTATGAACACAAACCCATCGAGTAGGTGGCAAGGGGAGACAATCGAATCGTAAGATCCAGGCAAATGAGCCAAGTGTGAAAGCACCCTAAAAGTATGATGCTATTTAGACTAAATATTAAGCATACGTTTACATGGACATCAGTAATCGAATGATTTGAATGTTCCTTTTTGAATGTTCCTTTCATGATCCTGTTTTACGTGTTATAGCACATAATTCGATTAACGTCATTGCGTCACCGCGCTATTCACATTTCGTTCGGAGTTGCATGCAATTTTGGGAGTTTCATTTTGAATTTGTCAGTTTTATTTGCCACTTTCACTTTCATTCGAGAAATTTAATTCCCTCCGAGACAAACAAGATATTGGATGCAACTATGAACTGCTGGAAGAGTGTTGTTTTAATGGAAGTTCATCCCGCATGCTGAATAGAAGAAAAACACCTCCACAATTCACGATGCAGGTGCCTGTGGTCTGCACTGACTGGGTAGGTGCAGACAGTGTCAAACAGCCGTGTGTGTGTGGATTATCCTGTCGCAAAGCACGGCGAAAAGTCCTATATGACGGTAGTTTTATTAAAGTGTTTACATGTCTGTACTGCACCTAAACAATGCGACTAAACCCGGCATACTCCACATCTTAATTCGCTTTCTCTTTAGTTTGATTATGAACTTAATCTGATTAAATAAATCAAAAATCACTGTTTACATGGTCGACTCTTAATCAGAATATTGTCTTCATCGCATTACAATCGAAACATTGGTGTCCATGTAAACGTACTCACTGTTTACACTAAGACTTGCTAAATAAACTAAATTTTAATAATTGGTTTGTGCCATTTACAGTTAAAAGATGGTATTTACAATACATATTAATACACAGTAAATGCTGTTTACAGTACACTTAGTGTTAATAGCATCTACTATTTATTAACACTTAAGCATTATCAGTATATGCTATATATTAATAATACAAATTAATTAATTAATTAATAATGTATATTAATACAGTATATACTGTATTAATACAAGGAATATGTTTACACTAAGAGCTGAAAGAAGGTACACCTAAATGTTCCAATAAACAAACAAAATAGACTAATCAGTGCAGGATCAATTACTGTAGTATAATTTTTGAGAAGTCTTTGAGAAGTCATCTAAAGATATAACAATGTTAGGATTATATGATTTGTTCTAAATGCATAGAAACATAAATCTATATAGAAAGAGACATGGCACATTTTAAAATAAACACTATTTATTTATTGTTGTTATTCTTGCCATGAAAAGCATCATCATCTGCTGCAAGGCCTCTGCATTCTGGAAAACAATCAAAAAACAAAAAAAAACAATAATAAACATATGAGTAGATAATTCATTTTAAAGTAGAGTGTGTCAAAGCAGCTTCAGATAGAAGATCATAGTAAATTGAAACACTGTAGATCAGTTTTCAGATTTTAAGTTCAGTTTAGATTAGCTCAGCTCAGTTCAAAATGTTTTAATATACACTGCTGGAAGTAAAAACACTTAAGAGTAATCCATCGATGCCCAGCTCTACAAGTCCCCAACTATGCAAGCTAGTGGCAACAGTGGCAAGGAAAAACAAAACTTCACCAATGGAAAAAAAAAAACTTGAGAGAAACCCAGTTCAGTTGGCCCGACCATTTCTCATATGGCAAAATGTCTTGTGGAGAGCTGCAGTCTAGTTGCCGGAGGCTGGAGAATACAGGAAGACAGCGAAGACTCTGCGGTCCCTGGAGTCTCACAGGAATCAGTCTCATGCTCTCCACTCCTCCATAACCACCACAGCAGCTGCTTCGGCCTGGTTCGGAAATGTGGAAACCTTGGGATCATCTCTTCACTGGTCTTAGATCACTTCAGTGACACTGTGTGATAAAGTCACATTAACTGTCACCGCTGGGAAAGCAGCACTGGCATTCACACACACACATTCTCGTACGCACACGCACATTCTCACGCACACACATACTTGCAAACACACACATACACAGACGCGCTGACACGCAGACATACTCACAGACCCACTTACCTCATTCATTCATCATAATGTTCCTCCCTGCCGTTGCCGTTATCGGAGGAGCGGGTGCACACGCGATCTCGATAGCAAATGGTCATATTTCCATAAATCCACTCCCCGCAATTCATAAGTCATCCATAGGCATTTCATACACCTCCACTTCACCTGTTGTGTTGTCTTCTCTGTTTGGTGTTTGTCTGTGTGGGCGTAGTCAGGCTTCCGGTCGCGATCGGTCAAACCGAGCACATAGGAAGTGCCGGTTTAAGAATGAATGGGATTGTGTGCGCATGCGCACTGCGATCGGAAGCTGACGAAACCATTATGTTTGTTAAATAGGTGTTTTGTGTTTATGAAGTGTGTATTATGTGTTTATTTATATTAAGAAAATGTATGTTTTGTTGTTAATTATATATTAAGGATTTTTTCTTTATGTGTTTAATGTGAAGTGTGGCTTGAATGTCAAGTTATTTAATGTTTGTGTATTTGTACATTTCAATACTTACCTTTTGAATGGTATAACCCACAAATGGGCGGGAGTTTGGGCTATATAAGCCAGAGCCCAACTTTCTTACAACACTTGTTAACCAAGTCGATGCAAGAGTGCTACTGTGGTGCCTCAAGCAAGTATATTGTGGATACCTGATATTATCGTTATTATTATTATTAGTATTGTAGATATAATTGGAGTATATTTTTGCAGATTTTATTTTCCTGTTTGTTGTTTCTTTGGTACTTTTTATTACTATTTTTTTGTTAGCACTTGTAAATATCTTCACTGTGGATGGACTTTTTGGCACTGTAAATAAATATCACCTTGCACGACAGTGCTTTGTGAGTAAGCCATCATGTTTTTTTTTTACGAACTCACATTTCTTCCCCCTTGAAGACGAGTTGGTGGGCTCGTTTTCATCACACACTGCATGATCTCTGGGGGCCTCGGGATGAGTATCCCCAGGAGGAAATAGAGAATAAAGAGAATAATTAACATAGCTGCTGTTCACAGTGTATATAAATGAGATGCAGAAACCTGTTTGGAGCACATTCATGCATCATTCTGCTATGTGATGCACTTGGTGTATGCTTTACTAAACAGATAGGTCTTTAATTTAGTTTTGAACTGAAAGAGTGTGTCTGAGCCTTGGACATTATCAGGAAGGCTATTCCAGAGTTTAGGAGCCATAAAGGAGAAGGCTTGACCTCCTTTACTAGACTTTGTCATCCTAGGTACTACCAGAAGCCCTGAGTTTTGAGATCCTAAAGAGCGAGTTGGATTGTAGAAAGACAGAAGGTTGGTTAGATAAACGAGCTAGATTATTTAATTCTGTTTTGTCTT